ACGGTCATTGATATTTGGTCATATTTCATCCTGTCTAAAACATCTATTGAGACATTTGGTCCATGATTCATTAAGAAAGGTTATCATTGGCAGTATGGCCACAACATAATTGTTAGACCAATAAAACATGTTAGTATTTTTTATGTATTAATCCTATAAGCCAAAAGTATAAATAAATATGGGCTGTTTGAACACAAGGACGTTTTTTAAGTTTGGATGTTTTTGACAGGACCAGGTATCAAGGACCATTTGGCATGGACCAAATATGTTCATGGATGTTTTGATAGGACCAAAATTTCAATGACATTTTGGCATGGACCAAATGCCTCCATGGGCATTTTGAACAGGACCAAAGTTCAATGACCTTTTGGTTTGGGTGGGGACCAAATGTCTCCATGGATGTTTTGGACAGGACCAAATACCTTGCAAGGCCTTGTCTTCAGTAAATAGTTTGAAAACTATACAACATTCTCTCATAGGTAAACATTGAAATCATACTTGTAACACTGGGAACCTCATATGCATTCCGTTTAATAAAAAACTAATTCCCCATGACAAAGAGTACCTTGAGTATTTTAGATTTCTTTTTGAAAAAATGCCTAATAGTTACATAAATTCTCTTATTTGTATTGATGCTAGAGAGAACCCAAAGTAATGGCCTAATATGAATTACTGTTGTATCCTTATAAATCTCATGCATCCTAAACAACCTGTGTATTAACAGTATAATACATCGAAATCCAAAAGTATAACTTTTGTGAAATTTTTATCATTAGGATAGGTCTACCTAACTCTTTATCTAACCACTGAGCAGTAGGTTTAGTGGTATTTAAAATGTACATTTGGTCCACACCCAAACCAAAATGAGGGGAAGGATACCTAGGCGAAGAAGGAGAGGGCAGAGGTAAAATATACATTCTGTGTCATGAAGAAGTTCACAATACAAAGGGAATGTAGATGAACAATGACAACTCTGCAGTAAATGCTGAAAAGAGGTACGCACAGGGTGCTTAGGAACATAGGAAGGGCACCCACTCATTCAGGGCAGATGGGTCAGAAAAGGATTTTCTGAGGATATAATGATTGGACTGAGTTTTAAAGGAGAAATAGGAATTACCCAGACAAAATGAGGGGAAGTATATCTCAGGCAGTGAACAACTGTACAGATGCTATTGTACTAGTAAAAATTGCAGGTTATTAGGGCCAGAACTAAAGTAATTGTGGAGATGAAATGGAAGGGACAGGTTCTTGAGATCTTGATAGAGCAAACAGGAAGTGGCCATAAGATCTGGGGTTGTGTCATACCCATATATTACTGAGTATTACTTTACTCACTGTGTTGCAGCCACACTGGCCTTTTTAGGTCCTCAGATGCACCGAGCTCATTCCTGACTTGAGGTGTTGGCGGGGATTATTCCTGCTGCCTGGAATGTGCATCCTTCTCCAACTCCACAATCTTCGAGTGGCTGGCCCCTCTTCATTCTGATCCCTGCTCATCATCATTACTCCAGGGACCTTTCCAGCCCATGCTGTCTTACAGTTGTCCCTCAAGTCCCTCCCTCACAGCCAGCCCGTTACTGTATCTCATTTTGTTTTCTTCATGACACTTATCATAATGTGTTTACTGCTTGTCTAGACTATACATGAGAACACTTTTATTCTCAGGGTTATAGGTGCTCAAAAAACATTTGAGTGAATGAACAGGTAGTGTTATGGAACCGAGTTGAGCAAATTGGTTATACAAATAGTTTTTTGGGTAGAAATGCCTCCTTTAAGTAAAGAATGCTTCTTATAGAAACACAACTTCAGCCAAAGCTACTGTCAAGGTCAGCCTAGGGAGCGTCATAAGAAGCAGGAAGCATATATACTTCCCTGAAGTGTCTAGCCTCTTAAAAATTCCAAACAAAATTATAAAATGTCCAAATTAATACCTTCCTAACCTGGCTGTCTTAAAAATGAGGGTCTTAGGGAACATCCAACATCATTAAAAGGCATTCTGCTTGAAGTAATGGAATAAAAAGTACATTACTTCTAGACCATTTTATAGCATCAAAAAGGCTAACCTTATTAAACATAATAGATTATCTACCTGTATAATTCACATATTACCTAGAAATAGTCTAGATCCCTAGAGCTTTTAATGCCAACAAAGACTTTGAATTTTATAATTTCACTGACTAGTGTTAAAATAGTTAACTGTATTTTATTTATGACTAATTTCTTCTTGTAAGATATTCACTTCATTAATATTTATTCATCAAATTTGAAGCATTATAATGAAAAAAATAAAACCTGTCAGGGTTCAGGGTTCATAGATCAGATGATATCCTATCCTGCCTGGCAAACATAGATTATTTTTTAAAAACTACATAAAATAAGAAAAGTTAAAAAAAAAAAAGGTTCATGCATTTATTGCTGGATTGGGGAAACTTATGAAAAATACTGTCTCCTTGGTTTTCCTTTCAAACTATTTCTCATCCGTATTTTTTAATTGTATATATATTTTTTTCTCCCTAGCTACATGGATCACACACTTAGTTGCCTTCTGAGAGTAAATCTACCTGATTGCCATGGTGTCCTTTAATATGTTAACATTTCAACTCTCTAATAACTGGGCATCTACCTGGCAATCCTTTCCCAGTATCTCCATGGAAATGTTACTCTGTAATGTTTAGCTCAGCATCTCCCTGTTCATGGTCCTTATATTAATAATACTTGTTTTTAAAGTAGGACATATGTAAAAACACACTGATCAGACAATTCTTGAAATATTATGTCTAAAACACTGGGCCCCGGCTTCCCACGCTGTAAGAGTTTAAGCTGTTGGACTCTTCGCCCTTCTTCCTAGTATGCTATATTGGGTTGTCAGAACAGTCATGAGGCATTTTTGCCACGAAAAACGTAGAAAAAATACGTCATGACTTTTCCAACAACCCAATATTTAGTTGTATGCTGTATTTCAAAGTACAGAAGAGAGGAGATATAGTCTATTTATTTATTACATGTGACAAAAAGTGGAATAAAGTTAAATTTTCTTTCTTGACCACAGCCATAATAATCATAGTTTGCTAAGAGATTGAAACAAGGAATGTATGGGTGTAGTTTTATTCAGGACAAAATTTTAAGCTCTGGTTACTGTCACTTAGCTGAAAATATTAAGATTACCCAAATTAGTTTAGTGGTGAAAACTCTAAATGATAGCAAGCTGGACAATGATTAGGGCAACATACATTAGTATTAATTCATCCATTTGCATACTACGTGCTGCTTTGGATACAGACATGAACAAAATGGACAAAATCCCTTGCCCTTGTGGAGCTTACGTTTTCATGAGAAAAAAGCTAAGTAAAACAATTAAATTAATTTTAGCAATAAATGCTATGAATAAATAGTAAAGCAAAGAAGGAAAACAGGGATACATGAGGATGCAGTTTTAAATAAGGAAATACTATACACACAAATACATATATATACATATGTTATTTTATATATTTTAAATAGGTGAAATGTTTATAAAAAACCATTGAGTCATTTAACCTCATATCGATAATTTACTTATAAATTATATACCAGTACTACTACTACTCTAAGTAAATTTTAGTGGAGTTTATTGTTTTAGATAAAAATAAATATAATTTAGAAGCTTTCGTTTTTTTTCCCACAAATCACAAGAAGGGAAATTTTTATAAGGGGCCATAGTGATTATTTTTGGATAATGACAATAATAGGTCATTCTTTCTAAGACTGGACTGTGTGCCAAGGATTCACCCCAGTGCTTTGTATATATTAATTCAGTAATTGTCTGAGGGTAGGTACTTGCCACTCTATCTCCGTTTTATCAATGCAGAAGCTAGGCACAGAGAGGTTCAGTACCTTGTCCAAGATTACACAGAAAGTAAAACCAGAGCTGAGATTAAAAATGCAGGCAGTGTAGTTGCCTATTACATATTATTACATACTGTTTCTGCTAAATGTGAAGAGGAGGAAGATAGATATACTGACTGTAGAGTAAGCATTAACAAACTACCTAAAAATCATAAATGAAGAGATTTAAGAAAATCATATACAGAACATTTTAAATCATCTGTATAATGTATCATAAAAAGCTTCCCCACCAACAAATGAGAAGACACATACAGCAGATCAAGAACTAATTTCCTTACAATGCAAAGAACTCTTACAAACCAATTAGAAAAGGATTACTAATCCAATAAAAACATGGCAAAAACCATGAATAGGCAGATAGCCAAATATAAAGAAATACACACAGACCAAAACATGAAAAGATACTTGTTTTTTTGTGTTTTTTTTCCTTTTGCATATTTAAATATGCAGTTTTAAAAAGTGGGCCTAGATAAATCATTCAATTTGATAATGACGAATAGAGAGTTGCAGGACTACTGAGAAGTGGCAGGCTGGCCGCTGATAGATGTGCATGCAGCTGTGGTCTGAGAGCGCACCAGCCAAGGTTCCAGGAGAGAATGAAGCCGTACAGAAAATCAGCTGAGTGACTGTTTTCTCAGTTTTCTCAGGGGTGATTTGTAGCTAGTACATTCTTGATGCATCCGTGAGAAGTTGATTCATTCCGTACGGTTGCCTTAGGGCATTAACATTTTCTCTAGGAACGTCTCTTGAGAAGGCCTGGTTATTGGGATTGGAAATAAAGGCAGTCCATTCAACAGACTTCTCAGCAGAAACCCAGAGAATTTTTGACAACTGTACAAAGAAGATACAGGGGAAAAAATTAGGGACCAGCAGGAGGTGTAAGATTCAAATGTGGTCAGTGTCCATTCTTACTATAGGTTAATTTTCAGGAATTCACCTGGGTCTTACCTAATGCAGTTTAAAAATCCACATGCAAATATTTAATTAAGTGATGCATTAAAATGTTAGAATTTAAAATTTGATTATTTCACAAAATAAAAAATTTGTGATACAGCTAGAAAAAACTTAGTCTCCACCATGCTATTTATAATCCTAACTATGCATTTTATTTCCAGGGAACCTTTTATTATTTTATCAGGAGGTTTGTCATATGATACTGTAGGAAGAAGACCTTGTTTAACAGTTATGCATGGGAAAAGTACTGCTGTGCTGGAAATGGACTACTCAATTGTTGATTTTCTAACGTTATGTGAAACACCGTACCCCAATGGTAAGCTTTGCATCTTTAAAACTCACTCTCTATCAGCACAAAGACCTATGTATTATCTAAGTAGTTTCCTTATTGTATTGTACTCATTCTTCTGGAAGGAAGTGCTGCCTTCATAACTTTGCAAATTTTATTTCAGAAGGTTATCTTGTTTAATAAGCTTGATCTGTTAAGTATTACACATTAGCAGTAAGTGCCTTTGAAGGTTAAACAAACTATCCACATTAAGAAACGTTTTAAAATTCTGTAAAATACTAGTGTATTAGTCAAGGTTCTCCAAAAAAACACAATCATTAAGAGACAGATAAAGATAGAGATAGAGAGAATTTAAGGAATTGGTTCAGCAGTTGTTGAAGCTGATACATATAAGATTCATATTAATAGAACAAGCCTGTAGGCTAAAAATTCAGGAAAGAGCTGAGCTGCCACTGAGCTGCCAAAGGGTGGCAGGATGGCTCAGCTTAAAAATAAATAAATAAATAAATAAATAAATAAAAATTCGGCAAAGAGTTGATGTTGCATTCTTGAGTCCGAATCTGAAGGCCAGAAACCGGCGGATTTTTATGTTGCCATCTTGAGGCAGAATTGCTTCCTTTTTAGAAAATCCCACTCTTTGCTCTTCAGGCAAAGATGGGTTGATTGGATGAGCCCCACCCACATTATCTAGGGTAGTCTGCTGTACTCAGTCTACTGATTTAAATGTTAATTGGATCTAAAGCATTTAGACTAATGTTTGACCAAACAAGTGGGCGCCATGCTCTAACCAAGTTGACATATAAAATTAGCCATCACAACTAGCATATAATATTTCAAGAGAATTTAAATCTGGATCTTTCTTACTTCATTTGAAGCTAATTGAGATGTAAAGATGTAATGCATTTTATAGTTAGCAGGCACATATAAAATATCCAAGATAGAGATTATAATATAATAGTAGTACTCCATTGAGTTCCTGTGAGATCCAATAATGTGAGTTGTTCTTATGGGTATTCTGATTTAAATTTTATGTTTGTTGTACATGGCCTACCTTGTAATTTGCAGTACCATAGAAGTTACTGTGAGTTTCTTAACCATTTTTACAAAACTGAAATAATTGTGTATGGGTTATTATATAGATTTATCTCGTTTAAAACATACTAGCCTTAAATTATATGCAGTATAAGATGAGAATGTTAAATACTTGAGCGAATGGGACAAAATAAAACGAAAACCAAACAAAAACTGTTCAGTATATAGTTTGCTGTCCTCTTGCATATTTAAAATTATTGTTCATGCATTGTTTTTCTATTCCAGATTTTCAGGAACCATATGCTGTGGTTGTTCTTCTAGAAAAAGATTTAGTACTTATAGACCTTGCACAAAATGGGTAAGAAAAAAATTTGGTGAACGATTAGTATGTGGAGAAAAAAATGTTCTTTTTAGCATAGGCTGAGCTGTTTCATTTCTTTGAAAACACTACATTTATATCCATAACCTTGACCTCTGTTTAGAGATCCAGGTGCACATTTCTAATTACCTGCAAAATTCCTCTTATTATGTTGATGAAATAGAATTTCCACATTTTTTAAGTCAAAATTTGTTGCATTTCTGAAATTATATGTTTCAGCCTAATACTTGGGTACCCTGGGGGCAGACAGCAGCAGCATGTCCAAAGTTGGTCCCAGCGGGGTCCAGAATAAGCTCTTGCAGTTTCCCCAGCCGTATTCACTCTCTGTGGCAGTGTGTCATGAACACCACTGTCAGGTTTTCTACATGCAGCAGCAGTCTTGCTACTCTTCTCTTGACACCACTGTGGCTCTCTGTTGTTTTTTTATTTAAAAACACCTTCTCAGCCTGCTACTGTTCACAGTAGGAACTCAGGGTACCCATTTTATCACTGTCTTCCTGCAGATGCTCTATTCCCTAGAAAAACTGAACTGGGTGCTAAACAAACATCACACTTCCATGTCCTTTCTTATGTAGTTTCCAACAGCTGAGACACCCCACTTGTTTCACTGCCATCAAAAGCCCATCTTTCAAAGCCAGCCTTCTTTTCCTCTTTAAGCTTTTCCTAGTCTCTCTTAACCAGATATATCATATCTCATTTACAAATCCCCACCAAAGCTCCTTTATAACTTCTTGTGGTATTTGCCATATTTTGCTTTTTCTAACACACATGATACTGTGTTTACTTATAAATTCTTTGAATGGAAGAACATTGTACTATCTATTTGTATCTCCTGAGAGATAGTCATTAAATAGGGTTTTAATTGAGTTTACCCATTCAATATTTAAGTATTTCTCACCTGGGGGCATTTTTCCCCCAGGAGACATTTGACATTGTCTGTGTAGACACTTTTATTGAGGGGAGGGAGTGCTACTGCCATCTAGTGGTGGAGAACAGGGATGCTACTAAACATCCACAATGCACAGGACAGTCCCCCACAATTATTATCTGATCCAAAATGTGAATAGTACTGAGACTGGGAAACCCTGAGCTATAAGTGAACAGTATTATTTCCCTATTTTAAGGCGTTCCTAAATTCACATCAACTTAGTACATGCTACCTGTATTAATCAATAATTGTTTTTTGAAAATAACAATACCATTGTGGAACAAAGAAATTTAAAACATTATTTCTAAATGACAGCCCTAGAATAACTTATTCTTAATATTTTTTTACTTAGGTAAATTTTCAAATAGTGAGACTTTAAACATGTGATGTGGTCTGCACTGAGATATATTTAAGTTAAAGAAAATACTGTGCAAGTAACCTGTGATTAGGCATTTTATTTAGCAAATGTATCAGTTAAATGTGTAGTGGTAGTAGAATAATTGACCTAAGGATTATCAAGTGTGTTTATAAACAGGAAAAGTTGCCTGCAATTTTCTTAATGAATATTTTTGTTTAAATAAGTTTGTCTTCTGTTCTCTTATGTGTTGTTGAGGAGGGAGTGATAGCAGTTGGGTTCATTTTGAAGTCTAGAAAGGACTTTTTTGAAATTTGCTCCTATAACTTTTTAATTATTGTCAGTAGTAGACTGATCAATATATATCTAATTTTTGCAGATTAACCACTCTGAACTTTTTAGACTTTTTTAGCTGGTTTCTGGTGTTACACATATTTTTCAGTAAGCATTCTCAATTCCAAGAACTTTAAAACCAAAAACGAAATATCATTGTATTTTTGGTTAGGATTTTAATTAATTTTGTGATTTTTGAAAGCATTTTTTGCTTTATTTAATATAATTTCATATCTAGAAAACATTTAAGATAGAATTTTATTTAGATTATCACTAAAACAAGAAAGCATTTCTAGATTAAATATTGCACTAGGCATCACACTGATGGGGAAAAAAGGAGAATTAAAAATTTGTATTCGCTCCACTGATACAAGAATGAGGTATCTGGGGCCGGCCGAGTGGCCGGCCGAGTGGCGCGATGGTTAAGAGCTGGCTTGGGATGCCAGAGGGCCGTGGTTCGGATCCCACATATGAGGGCCAGTGACACTGTCCTCCACAAAAAAAAAAAAAAAAAGAATGAGGTATCTGTTAGTTGAGAATCTTTTAGGTTAATGCTTAAGAACACAGTTTAAATTCTGCTTCGCCTTGCTAGCTGGCATGCCTTTGGCACATTGCTCTCTGTAAGCCTTTGTTCTTTAGTAAAATGCCTGTACCATAAGTTTGGTGCATGAAGTAAATAAGGTATATGTATATAAAGTACTTAGTCCAGTGTGTGGCACATGGTATGTAGTTCTAACTGCCGCTTTTCTGTTTACTGTTCTAATTGAACAACTGTCATTATAAAAGAAGTCATTTTTTTTACATGTCTCCATAAATTAAATCTATTAAATCTCTGTGGTGAAATGTTCGTAATTTCTAAAATTTCATAGTGCAGAACATACTGTCCTGTGAGTTTTAAAATATAAATTCAGGTAGTATGTTAATATGTTATGTGGACCTTCAAAGGATGTTAACTTTAAATTAATCAAGCTTTAATTTTTTTTCTATTCCAAAGCTGTAAATATTTTTAAGACATTTTCATTGTTGTATTAATCATAGGTGATAATTTGTTAATTTAATAAATATTTTTCTATTCCTGTTGTTGAAGATATCCTATATTTGAAAACCCCTACCCTTTGAGTATACACGAGTCTCCTGTGACATGTTGCGAGTATTTTGCTGATTGTCCTGTGGACCTTATTCCTGCACTTTATTCAGTTGGAGCGAGACAGAAACGTCAAGGTTACAGCAAAAAGGTACTGAACATGAGTTTTAGTATTTAATGTTACATTACTACGTTAGTATTTTATATTCATCACCTTGGAGTGTTTCATAACATTGCATACCTTTTCTACAGAAAATATAGAGAAAATCCTTTTGGAAGCAAAATATATTGCTTAATGTTGTCATATATATGAAGATGTGTGGAATGCTTGGAAGTTGCTTTATATAATAATCTTTTCTTATAGGAATGGCCCATCAATGGAGGTAATTGGGGCTTGGGTGCTCAAAGTTACCCAGAAATAATTATTACAGGGTAAGTAAAAGCCTATTTTCACCAAGTAAATCAATAGTAGCTAAATATAATTAAGACTACATGAATTGGGCAGATAGTGCTTTCCTTTATGTTATAACATTGTAAGAAATAAGTTATTGCCTAGAAGCTGCCAATTTACCCTAAATTTTATCTTTTTTGCATTTTGCTGACTGTATTTTTAAATAACAATATACTTCAAAGAATGAAAAACTGTATTTTTTTTTTTATCACATTCTTAACTCATTTACTTTTGCTAGGCATGCTGATGGGTCAGTTAAGTTCTGGGATGCTTCTGCAAGTAAGTATATTGAATATTATTTTTATATGTTATACAGTCATTGCTTTTATACAGCCTGTATTGTAATAATTGTGTAACCAATATTTAGTTTGAAATTTGGAGGCTAAATTTAATACCTATTAATCATGTATATGAGTTTAGAATTTTTAGTAGATTAAAGATATTTTCAGGATATTAATTAGTAGATCAAGAGTAGTTCTCAACAGAAGTCCTCCAATCCTTTCTTCAAAGTTTCTTCAAACCATTTCTTCTTCCTAAGTCAGAGGTAGGAGAAGCAGGAATGTGTTTCAAATCAACAGAAATTTGTAGAATATTTTAATGTGCAATTCTAAACTTATGTAACAAAATTGTTGCCTTTTTGAAATATTGGGTTGTCGGAAAAGTCATGACGTATTTTTTCTATGTTTTTCGTTGCAAAAATGCATCATGACTTTTCTGACAACCCAATATATATACGGTCATATAATACTAAAAAAGGAAAGAACACTTTGAATGGCTAATGTTTGCAAAACATACATAGCAAGCCAGCAGAATCCAGTTAATTGAGGATAAATTACGTTTCATCCTATAGAAGCATTAGATAATATTGGTTCCTTTTGTAGAGAAAACATTAGAAAATCATTTTAGAAAGCAAAATATATCCTTTCTTATTTTTATTTTATTTATACATTTTTTTTTACAAAATCTTTTTGTGACTTATTTGTTTTAAGGTTATCTGAATTCATCATGATGGTGAATTTTTTTTTTTAATAAGTACAATAAGTGCACTTTTTTTGGCCAGTGAGTACATTATCTAAAAGTATATTAGAGAAATGTAGGCCTAGGAATAAAATATGCTTCAAATAATATAAATTATTTCTTTACATAATATGACTGATTAAATATTACCTTACGTTTGTTCTTTTTTGTATTGAATTATCTAACATATATTATCTTTTTTCTAGTAACTCTACAAGTATTATATAAACTAAAGACGGCTAAAGTATTTGAAAAGTCAAGAAATAAAGATGACAGGCCAAACACAGACATTGTAGATGAAGATCCGTATGCCATTCAGATCATCTCCTGGTGTCCAGAAAGTAGAATGCTGTGCATAGCTGGAGTTTCGGCTCACGTCATTATTTATAGGTTCAGCAAACAAGAAGTGATTACAGAAGTCATTCCAGTAAGAGTCTCTTAGTTGTTTCCAATGTCAGATGTTTGATGTTTTAAAGTTTTTGAATTATTTAGAAGATTATTTGCAGTCAATTTTGTCTAGAACTTTTTTTAAAATTATTTTTTATTGTGAAATACACATTTTTAAAAATTAGTTTCAGCTGTACAACAAAGTGCAATAGTTATACTTTTTACCCCCCAAAGTGACAACCGCCCTCCCCCAATCTGCTGCCCCACTTCCCCCCAATATCGTACGTATTTATTGCAATTCCCTTGACTCCACACTATACTCCATGTCCCATGACCATATATATATATATATATATATATATATATATATATATATATATATTCACTTATAATTGACATACAATATTATACAACATCAACTTCAGGTGTACAGTGCAGTGATCAAGCCTCTACCCCATTATCTAGAACTTTTAAAAACACATCAGTATTTACATTACCATCTATCTATTGTGAAAAATAGCGTGTTTTTATGCATATCTTTTTACTGAACATTAAGTCCTTAAATGCATCGTATGTTTCATTTGAAGAAAGCTAATTTGAATATGAGCATACTCTACTTGGTGTTAACAGAAGTGCCATAAATTTTAAAGTCATAATGTGTGTGTGTGTGTGAGACTACTTGCACATATACACATTATTATTTTTTAAAACTGAGTCAGAAACATCAGTTTTTGTGTTTGTTTGGGTTTTTTTTTTTGCTAAGTCCTTACCTTTAGAAATCTTGCTGAATTTTTACCTTTAAAACTGTTCTTGCCACTGAAGTGTATGTGTGTGTATAAACTGTAATAAAATGCACAGTGATTATTGGGAGTAGGTAAGCTGTCTTACTTTTATGACAGATGCTTGAAGTTCGATTGTTATATGAGATAAATGATGTGGAATCCCCAGAAGGTGAACAGGCACCCCCTTTGCCAACACCAGTGGGGGGCACGAATCCTCAGCCCATTCCTCCTCAATCTCATCCTTCCACCAGTAGCAGTTCCTCTGATGGGCTTCGTGATAATGTCCCTTGTTTAAAGTAAGTTATAAAAAAATACAGATGTTTTGGAAATTATCTTTTTAGATAAATTATAAACATTCATAAAGCTACACTAACATTTTTCTGTGATAGAGTAAAATGGCATAAGAGCGTCTCTTTCTGTGTTTCGCTGTGATTGATTCAACTTATTTTTCTGTGGTGTCAAGAGGAATATGATTGCGTTCCATGACTTTATCCTTAAAGTACTAAGATTT